AGGTTTATTTTCAGACTGTTTTACTTGTGTAGTTCCCTCATGAGCTGTTTGCAAAGCTTCCCATATTTCCTTTGCAGTATCGCAGGTAGAGATTCTATTGTACTCTTTAGGTCTATTCTATATACTAGAATTTTCTTGACACGAAAATTCTTCTCCACAACTTTCTTGTTTGCTTTAGTATATTGTTTGCTGGTTTTTGCCATTGAAAATGGAAATTCATCTAGTACCTTGATTGGAACATAAGGAACATCGCAAATGATATCACATAGCTCACAATCCTCAGCCATGATGAAATCGTGCATTCTAGTTTTCCACCACCAATAGTATTGTCCATTAAACTTGGGGGGTTGGTATATGGATTGACCTTCTTCAAAATTTGGTGGAGTCGCCATGAGGATCCTTCCTAGGTGTTAGCCTGATAGGAGGAACCTGCTCTGATACCAATTATTAGTTTGTATGGGTCTACCAAACCGTATAGTACCTGGTCCTCTACAAGATTCTGCTGAGAATGCTAATAAAATAGTATGTAAATAAGGCAGAGGATTTTTACGTGGAAAAATCCCACACAAGGGGATCAAAAAACTACGACCTACACCTGTAGGTTTTTAACTTTACTAACTTGCAATCTACCTATTACAAGCCACTTTGCAACGATTCCTATTGCAAAGGATTTACTCAACTAACTTGTGGTACTCTTACCACAAGCCACTTTGTGACTTCCTAGTTACAAAGGCTTTTCCTAACTTGTGATGCTCTTACCACAAGCCACTTTGTAACTCTATAATTACAAAGACTTTTCCTTATGACTAAATCTAGTCACAACATAAACTCAAGGAGTTACAGATTTACAAGAGGATTCTTAATCAAACGCTTCTAGGTAAGCAGTTTAGGAGATACAATAAGTACAACAACAAGGTTACAACTCAACTAGGACAACAATAGGCTATCTTTTAGGAACTGGTCCGTAGTTGCATTCAACCTTGTTCTTCAAGCTTGTGAGGATTAATTTCTCTATTTTTGCAAGATGCTTGAATGAGAAACAGAAACCTTTCAGTGATGTTTTGTATAAAGCTCATTGTGGGTACATCTTGATCACATCACTTGAAAATATGTGAGTACTTTGTTTGGTTAGAGAATGAGTGGGCGGACAGTGCAGTGCGACAGAAATAATGCCGTCAGTCACTTCATTTCCAGCTGTGTCCAATTGACTCTGTACTGCTATGAGGAAACCACAAGAGTATCAGGTCCTTGTGTAGGTTCCCAGCTCCTGAAGCTGTCACAGTTCACCTTTAGCTGGAATCTGTTAAAGCTTGCAGCAGTCCAAGTAGGTCAGGTTCCCTATTTGGTTCTTAACGATAAGTTTGTTAGATCATCAAAACATAAGGCAAGAGTATTTAAAGCTATCAGGTAATAATAGGCGAACCTTGGGCCTCATTAGAGGATGAATGATCTTAAGGGGAGGAGGATGTAAGGCCCCATAAAATTCTTCCCAAAAATCGGAATATCATGGTGCCACGTTAGGGTTATGTGTCAGAAATTGTTGAAATTCTTCGGACTTTTTGGATTGAACTGTGCATTAAAAAGTTAAGAAAAAATGTTCGCAGAAGCATGCATTTCTGTGGCCCACTATGTGTCCGCATAACAACTATGCGGGCTACATGATGGCTGCAGAGTGATGTAGTCTTTTTGGCCAATTTTGATGCCATTTTTGCGGTCCAGTATGCGATCGCATATCCATTATGCGGACCACATTTTCGTCGCACATCTGTCCTTGGACTTTTGTGAAAGGAGATTCTGTAGCGCATTATGCGACCGTATAACAGGTCTACGGACCGCATATTGGCCGCAGACCCAGGCAAAAATTGAGGCCCCTGAGGGCCACTTTTTGCGGTCACTTTGCGGACCACATAACCGTTATGCGGTCACATAGATCTGAGTTGGCGCTCCATATTTTTAATTTTTAAACCCGATCCTATGTCATTATAACTTATGCAATGGCTCATTTTGAGCCAATTTCCTGGTACTTTTAGAGTGAGAAAGAGGGTCTAAGAGAGAGAAAGTGTCCTTCATTAAAAAAATTGGTCCACAAATTCTTGTTTAAACATTGAAGATATTCAAGTGAGATACCTAAATCTTCATCCTAGGAGGTAAGACTTCATCACCTCAGCTCTTAAAATTCAAACATAGCTATAAAGGGGTCATTAGTGGGGTAATTCATGGGGATGAGGGTGATTACATTGCATGCATGTGTTCTTATAGATATGGGAAAATTATAAATCAAAAATAGAGAGGCATGGGGAATGGGTTGGTGTATTCTTGCATAAAGGGCCATAAAACCTTAATGAACACATAATGCTTGATAAAATGCTCAAGTGAGCTAAGATTGTGATCATTTTCCTAAGTATGGGTTCAATTGTGCTGCATTGCTTAAATAGATTGAATTTGCGAACATTCCGGGACATTGTAGGAATTAAGAAAAGCTCAATTGAGGTGTGCATGACTAAACCTCTTTCTTCTTAGAATCGATATCCCCTGGTATCGGTGGAATCAGTGTAAGTACCGAAATTGAGCACACTAGAATTGTCTATCCCAAATGTGTCGTGTGGTAAAATATGTGTGCCAAATGCTTATCCTGTCTTATCTTCCTATGTGAATATGTTTAACAATGTGGAATATGTATTGAGAAAGGTTAAGAACTCATGTCAATGAAATTGAATAAAGATTATTGTGCCAATCCGTATGCAAAGTCTCTATGTGCTTAGAATTTTCGAGCTTTTCCCTTGTGTGTGAACATGCCGTACATTATAGGCCTTATTGTTGCTATGATAATGTTGTTGAACATGTGAAAAAGGAAACTTGAATTGTAAGATGTGGCTAAGTGCCTAGAATGACTAAATAAATGAGGCTAATCGTGCCATGAAATGAAAGATAGGAAAGAAATGTGAATCGAGATGAGCGATTGAGAGGGTGATGTCTCAAGTGAGATGGCCTAGCCGATCGGGCCGTGATCGACACCATGCCGCACATATGGTGGTAATTGTGCTGGATTGTTTGATTGAAATTGTGAATATGGTGGATGTCTCAAGAGAGATGACCTAGCCGATCGGGTAGAGATCAGACTCCGTGTATGAACACGGTAGTATTGTAGATTGTGGCACATCGCACTGAGATTGGCAACCTAATAAGATGGAAATTTAACCGGAACCTTGTGATTCTTACTTTATGATTTTCTTATTTGTTTGAAGCTCTTATTGTACACCACGACTGTTTCCTCTATGTTTTATTGTTCATTCTATTAAAATTGATGTTTAACTTTACATACTAGTACTATTCGACCATACTAACGTCACTTTTACCGAGGGTACTACATCTTTTAATGGATGCAGGTGGTTCCATAGTCGACAGTGTTGATCGCAGCTAGTGGTGCTTTGCCTTCATCTTCCCAGCAGTCTTGGTGAGCCCCATTTCTTTCCGGGCCATATAATACAGATTTTGCTTATATGATTACCACGTTTTGAGGTATAACCGGGGCCTTGTTGTTGGCACTTTCATATCACTTTCTTTTGTATCTACTTAGAGGCTCCGTAGACATTGTGTGGGTTGTATATGAGTGTTGGGAAGGTCAAAGGATGATATTGTGTATGGTCTATTGCTCCACTAAATAGTAAGGTATATGTATTTTAAATACCCAACAACAATGTAATTAATGAATTGGCTTAGTAATGTACTTGTATGATTTTTTATTGCCTAAAGTGATGAAATCATGTCTTCTCTTGATCGTAAGTGAGTCGGGTAAGAAGTGTCTAACAGACTTGTTCGACCGGGTTTACTCAATTGAGCGCTGATTGCGCTCCCCGAGCTTGGGGCGTGACCCAAATGAGGCCTGAATACGGCTATTTGTGCAATTGCCCCCTCTTAAACCCACAAGTAAAAGCGTAAAAATCGCATGGGGTAGCCATTTTTTAAAGTGATATTTACTTTTTATCCAACATTTTAAATGATGAGCAAAAGTAGCCACTAGTCTATTAAAATTAATATGGAAAGATGGTGTTACCCTTTATTCTACCTTTAGGCTTATGACCTCTCAATACAATCTGTTTTGCTGTATGGTGCTCATTTATCTTAGGTTTCTATATGATTTTTGAAGTTCTGATGTTTGTTAGTTCATCTTAATCACAAATATTTCATCTTATACTGGAAGTTTGAATAGGCGATCCTTTAAAAATATTTTTCTTGTCATTTTTGCTGCTATTTGGCTGTTGGTCACAAGAAATTTATTGTTCCTTTATTTGGCGGAGGGTGTTCTTATCATGCGAGTTTCACTTTGTTGTTTCATTTTGGAGTTCTTAACATACGATCTTTGTACCCCGCATGGTGTTAATAGATTTGATGATTGACCTTTATGATTTGCTTGATTGTGCCAGATATGTATAGCCAAGAGAGTATGAGTCCTTTGTGTATGCATATTTATTGAAAAGAAAAAGGTGAGTGTGAAGAAGAGAGAGAGGGAGCTGCAAGTTGTTTGAAAAAATAGAGGAGGGTCGTCAAAGGAGGGAGGTTATCAGAATAGTTAAGGACATGTAATCCTTAACTTAGACTTACAAGCTCATAAATTAAGGACAACTAGTCCCGAACTTAGAGTAACAAGCTCACAAGTTAATGACACTTGGTCTTGAACTTAGAGTTACAAACACAGAAATTAAGGACAAGTAGTCCTTAACTTAGAGTTACAAGCACATAAATTAAGGACAAGTAGTCCTTAACTTAGAGTTACAAGTACATAAATTAAGGACAGGTAGTCGAGTTGCAAGTTTAAAAGTTAAGGACATGTAATCTTGAACTTCTGACAAAGCTCATAAATTAAGGACTTGGTCCTGAACTTTATGAGCAAAAGGTTATTTTTGTCCGGACAGATAAAAGTTTATTAAAATAATGGGTAAAGAATAAAGACATTTTAAAAATGATTTAAAAGTAAATATATGTCTTATTCCCGTAAAAGCATGATACCGAAGCCCAGCAAGCAATCAAAAGGAAACGAGAATAATTGGTGCGACGGAGATCTGGAGTCTTCCTTCGGTCATAGTGCTCCAGTATTCAAGCTTCTTCCGGCGAGGAAGCTCCGCCTTTGCTCTGCTGCTATACCCGGTGAGCTCCGCCTTATTCTTCCTTTATTTGTATGAATCCTCACAAAAATTTGCATACTCAAATCAAGTATTTACAACAATTCTCAAGAGTCTCGAGTGGAAGACCGTATTACCTCTGCTGTGTCAATCGAGGACTTTACTTCTCTTTCTGTTTCTCAAATGAAAACCTCATATTAGTAGTCTGAAAAAGGAATTTTATCTCAACAGACAATAGTAGTCTGAAAAAGAGAAATATTTTGCATTTGGGTTGGATAACTGAAAACAAGGCTAAAGGTTTTGAAGCTAGTGCAAATATTTTTTTTCTTCCCCTTTTTAGCCACAATGAATTAGATAATGAGAAAGAAGTAGAAAAAATAAAATAAACTAAACAGTAACACATAGGAAGAGAATCAGCATCGAAGAGAAACAAAGTAAGCAAGTTAAGCATTAGAAAATAATTAGCTATGTTCAAACTTTAAACAAATACTGTGAGGGAGAATCGAACCGTGATACTCTCTAATGTAGGACCTTTATATCCCATCTTCGAAACCAAAGCACCCATCAGTCTTTTTTGGATTATGGGTGCTAGCTGACCCGTTATTATCACTTTTAACATTTTTCTAAATAAATACATATAGTTTGAGTCGGGGTCAATGGGTGCTCGAGCACCCACCACACTATGTGGGTTCACCCCTAACCAAAAATGTGACTAGGGGAGTGCGTAAATTCGAACAAACTAGAATAACACCTTTGTGTACATAGAAGGAGGGGAAGTTATAAAAAGCAACGTAATAAGGAGTATTCTATGTTAAGAGAGAGGTTGTTTATCCATATGTAATGATTTCTTCGTCTAAAGGAAAATTGCTAAGTTTATGACCAGGAGGTCATGGGTTCGAACTGTGGAAACAACGTCTTGCAGAAATGTAGGGTAAGGTTGCGTACAATAGACCCTTTTGATTCGGCCCTTCCCCGAATCCCGCACATAGCGGGAGCTTAGTGCATCGGACTGCCCTTTTTTTCATTGTTTAATTGTAAGTTTTTGCAATTGGCGAATTTAGATATATGCATAGTAAGTAGTAGTTGTTACAAAAAGAATGAAGTTGAAATGAGTTCAGACTAAATATAAGAAATTATAATGTATAGAGTTTGTCTTCCAGGGAAATGACACGAGAGATGAAGATTTAACGCATAAAAGCAAACTGGAGGAATTTTCTTGGGAGTGTTATGCTATAAGAAGGTAAACACTATAGTGAAAGACCAGTTTTATAGAACCCCTTGCCAGACCAACAATATTATGTAAGAGTCTTGCATATTCTCAAGATGAGTGCCGTAAAAATACGTATAAGAAGATGAGTATGCAGCCATAATAATAAGACAAATAAAAAATGATCAAATTACAGAAGGTTCGAGTAGTACAATTAGAGGACAGATGAGAACATCTTTTTTTGATGACCGAGAAATCCGTCTGGGACCGATCCTTTGGACCAACCGTAGCCTTCGAAACTCGGTGGATAATGGGCCTGCCCCTCTACCCTTCTCCACTTAAATACCATGCTTTGCTTTGCATGGTGTGGGAGCTTGAACCTGTGACCTAAGACACAAATCCACCACCCTTTGCCACTTGAGCTAGGCCCTGAGGGCGATGAGAACATCTTTAGAGATGGTTTTAGCATGTCATTCTCAGGCTAAATGCTGATTCTATGATGATTGAGAGTGTTGAAAGTCAGTAAAATCGATAAAATTATATATGTCTAAGTTCATGGAGTGACTCGAGAAAATTGTACAGGGTATTCTAGAATCATTTGTATTTAATTGTATGATATTACCTGCCTTGTTAGATGTAGAAGATAACTATTTATCATATTGTAAGTACTTGAGGAGGTCTTCTTGTACATTGATTTTTCACTCAAGACAAGGCAAGTTCTCTCATTTGTTTGCTTTTTCACATGATATCAAAGTGTCCCGATCTTGGTAGAAACCTGAGTAGCTTTCGTCTATCAGCGCTGACCTTTTGTCGCCTGCCCAGTTAAAGTTTTCTTCTTTTCTTTTTTCTTTTAGTGACCTTTTAGTGGCAAAACTCTTCTTTGATGTGACCATTTCGATACTTGCACTTCTGCTTCCTTTTCGATGACCGCCCAATGACCCTCGCCTCTTTTCTAGTGATTGTCTCGTGTGACCGCGGTTCTTTCAGTTGGCTGCTCTGGGGGCATCCTTTATGACATGGTTTTATAGCCACAAAAGTGTTTTGACATGTTTAAGAACATAAGTTATAGTCTTTTTTTCCCTTTAAACTCCTGCATAGTCGAACACGTTTCACATGAACTGAAATGAAGGTAGCATAACTGAACCCAACTAGTTCTGCGATAGAGCTTGTTGGTGTTGATATATTTGCAATTGGCATAGGGGCTGACTATTCTTCCTTTCCTTCTAATGTGAAGCTATTTCATTCCACTTGATACCCTCAACTGGTCGCAAACATTCAAGAAAAAGCAACATTAAGTGTTTCTATCTAAGAGACCTGACCTTTATTTACCCCTTAATCAACTCTTGAGAAGATGATGATGATGAGGAAAATTGTTTTACATTTTACCATTACTATCTTGTGCACTCTCTGATGCAACTTCCAGTGCTGATTGCTACTGGGCAAGATTGGTCTGTGATTCTTGAAAGCTGAACCTCTCTCTTATGTTGTAGTACTCGATCCCGGAGAAGTTACTAATCTCTTTGTTTTCTATCTTTTCATTCTTAGTCAATGAAATTATTCATGTATCACTAACATCATCCATCTGTCAGTTGCGCAGGAGCTTAATGACCAAGGACTTTGATAGAGATGAATCAATTCTCAAATGCCTTTTCATTGCTAAATTTGGATGTTGCAGATCGCCAGGATGAAATCCGAACTGATATTACTAATGGGGGCACTGGTAGAGTAAACAGAAAAGGTCAGAAAGAAACAGATCATTTTATCTAAACTATAAATAAATATGCAGCTAATCTTTAAGTGGAGAACCAGAGAGGAGAGGGCCCATTATCCACTGAGTTCCGAACTGTGTGTCATTGGCCCTCGGGGATTTCTCAGCTAAAAATAATAATAATGCAGCTCATCCTTAATCCTTAGCCGTCTTTTTTAAACCCTAGCTATAGCTTCTGTTTCTAAGAAATGACAATTTGTGAACTACTCAGGTAAAGGAAAGGACAAATATGGCAGCCCAGGAGAGATGGAAGTACTTGAACATGAAAAAGAGGATCAGAAGTCAGTTTCAGGAGAGTACAAATTGCCGCTTGTATGGATTGACCTTGAGATGACCGGTAATCAATAGGTTATGATGTTTTCGAAATGTGCCTGGGTCTTTAACCTTATGCATTGAACCACATCATTCTTAGTGGTTTTTCTCACTATATCTGTCATAAAGTCCATCACTATGTATACACTGCTGTGGAATGATATGTGCTGGCTATCCCTTTAAGGGTTTAGACTTTAGAGTGTCCTTGAATTGCTTATTGGCAGTCCAATTATATTGGTTTGACTCTTCCCAATGGGCTGATGCTACCAGAGTCCTCTTAAGGTCTTCCCTTCCCTGGGCTGTGTTACTTATGCGATGGAGGCCTCCTCCACATACGGTCATTAACAAACTCATCCTCCCATTTATTGATTTAAAGAAGAGTCTCTAAGCTTCTTTCTGTTTTGTTTTCCAGAGGCTACTTTAAATTCTGAGTGTCAAAAAACAACTATTTGGTTCCTTGTGCTGACAGTCAGAGATTCATCTTCCATCCTATCGTCCAGGTTTGTCGTCCAGCTATAGCCTCCTGTCCCTCATTCTGTACTTTGGTGTCCAGTAGTAGTTTACTTTGGTTGTTATCTGGAAACGTCCCTAGGTTGGAAACGTCTCTAGGTTGCTTCCGACCCCCTTACCTAAATCCTCATATTCTACTACAAGTGACCTCCAAAAGAAATTTAGGAAGTGGAATAACTAGATTGTGCTAACATATTCATTTCCACGTATACCTTCCGTTTCTTTTGGTTGCATGTTGACTTTTCCTTTCTAGTCCTATTCCTACTATTAAGCCAAGATGTCTTGGATAAGTTCATCCATCAACCATCTATGGTCATCTTTTCTTATGAGTGACTAAGTTAGCCATGAGCCAAAATATGGCTATGTATACAGAGCAGATAAATAATTTTGAAACTTTTACTTCTATATATACTGTTGTGCTTAATAGATAAGTACCACAGGTAGCTTATCATCTTTGTCTGTTCATGATTAGTCGAGAAGGATAGAAAGCGGAAGTTCTGCTGGATTGATACTTCTGCTCTCCTTCACCCCAAAATTTAATAGCTCAACTATCTATATTTCAATTTCAAGAAATTTTTGATGTCTTCCCCCCTATTTTGACTCGCTGTTGAGTCATCAGGTGGGCACCATTGTCTTTAACATAGGGTCACCACGTGGCATGTGCATTATGAAAGTATCAAGTTGGCAACTGAGATCTCCAAACTTTAATTCACCCAGCTTATTTGGATAATACTTGTCAATATCATTATTCTTTCCTTATCAAAATTAGTAAATGAATTAGCCGGATTCAGCAAGTTACTACTTACAAAATTGTTAAGCTTCTAAAGTTGCAAACCGATGCCATCCGCCTCAGCCTTGGTGAGCAGAGTTGCTTATTACTTACTCTTATTACTTGTGCCGATGAGAGGTTGTAGGTACCCTGTGGAGTGTGGAATAGTCGAGGTACGTGAACACCGTCATAATAAAAAGAACAAGTTACTACTCGTACATCAAAACGATTATTAAGCTCCTGAAGTTGCAACCCAATTATTACACGAAAAAGCTCAACACGTAAGTGATGTCAATAAATAACACTAGAAGGTTTATGCGTAAACTTTTTAGGAATATAGATTGCGTCCATCTTAGGCACCAAACCATCATGTTTATCATAAAATAAGGAGCCTTCATCCATTGAAGATTCCTATTTGGTGTCTCTCATCAATTGCGACATTTTCTTACTACAGTTAAGAAATACCATGGCTTGGAAAACCGTAAAGATGTGCTCAGTTCTTTCAACATCACAAACACTTTCAACATCAAATGAAGCAAGAAAATGAGTTCAAGTTCATTGATCTTAATCAAAAGATGTTCTGCTTGCATGCTATCATTTAGGATAAAACCCTTACATTCAATCACCTCAAGCACACGAACAATAGATGAAATAAAACAATGAAGTTCTCCGATGTTCTAAAATGTGATCCCCATCGAGTATCATCTTGCCTTTGAAGCCATCAATCTTGAAGTAATCCATTCCCACTTCGAACTTCACCATACGATTATCCAACATTTCTCCTTGGTGTTCTCGAAGTAGATCTTTACGCTCAAAAGATGCTCCAACCACATTTAACATGTTAGGAACTATAGCAAAGAAATTATCCACATGCAAACGTTTTTTGGCAACAATTACAAACGTTAATTGTAATTGATGAGCAAAACAGTGAATACAATATGATGATGGAGTATCGTGCAAAATCAGACCATTCATATCCCTGCATGTTACTAGCTCCATCATAATCTTATACTCATATTTTAAATGGACTTAATGAGTGATTCAAAAGCAAAGAATAAATTATTTCCTTCAATAACCGTGCCGATATATCACTGACACGAACAACACTAATAACTTGTTGATTCACTTCGTATTTTTTTCAATATATTGCAAAACAAGTGCCATTTGCTCATGCTGAGAGATGTCATTAGACTTATCAATTAATATACCAAAATAATCTCCTCCCAAGGCATCAATTATAGCTTTCACCTTTTCTTGTGCACAAGCTCTCACAATTTCCTAATTTTTTGCAAAGTCATCATATCATTTTTTGGAACTTTTTTTATTATAACACTATCCACATCGAGAAGCCTTTTTTCCAAGCCATCCAAAGAGCTAGGCCACATTAACTGAGGCATTTAAATGAATTCGGTCCTCGCATCTTCNACTTACTTTACCAACATGTGAAAGAAAACTTTTTCAAGCCTTTTCTTTCAAGCCTTAAAGTCGGTTTTCATGAAAAATCACCTAAACTTTATGAACATAGTCCTTTTTGAATAAATAGAATGCAGCATCTTTCGTGACCTATACTCCAACCATCTAGAAAAGGAACCGTTAAACAAACTCAGATTAAACTGATGCATTTTTTTCCTTCGTGAATGTAGTTTTAGTAGATTTATATTCAACCAACTAATAAGATTCTTTGTGAATATAATGTTTTCTCACTTCATCTCGTATTTTATGGCTATATTTTATCAATATATATTCTTTCTCCGAGGACGACTTTAAGTGACTATAAATCGAACTCATCTACAAAGAGGGGAAGAATTGTCTCTACAACTGCAACTTAGTTGATAAGAATTACATTTCTTTTTTTATTGGTAGAAGAATCTAATTTCCTCAAAATTGCATTCATCTTAATTCACAAGAATCAATGATAACATCCTACAAAACAAAAATTCCATTAATTTTAAGATTCTATCAAGAACACAAACAAGCACAACATTTCCAATAAGGGAATCACGTTCGTCTTATCAATAGCACAATAAAAATAACTCGTAAGGGGACTCACACCCTTCATATATCAAGAATAAAAGTAAACATAAAAATTCTAATAGGGGGAATCACATCCCTCCTATAAATAGCACAATAAAAACAAGATGTTATAAGGGAATCACATCCCTCCTAATTATAACACAACAAAAATAACACGTAATAGGAGGGTGTGCTATATTTTTCTTTTGCTATAATTATAAAGGGTATGATTCCGCTATAACATGTTATATTTATTCTCCTATTTAGTGGAGGGGTGTGATTCCCTTTTAGAAATGTGTTCGTATGTTCTTGATATGATGGGCGATTCCCCAATTACGTATTATTTTTATTGTGCTATTGATAAGAGGAATTTGACTCCCCTATTGGTAATGCTATATTTGCTTGTGTTCTTGATAGAATCTTAAATCTAATAGAATCGTTGTTGTGTAGGAAGTTGTCATTGGTTCTTGGGAGTTGAGATGGATGTATTTTTGAAGAAATTTTATTCTTCTGAATAGTTCTATAATTAGAAATCTTCCCCTCTTGCAGATGAGCTTGATTTGGAGCTACTTAAAGCCGACCTGGAGAAAAAATATTCATGGATAAATATAGCCTTAAAGTACGGGATGTAGTGATAAGATACTACATCCAGAAAGGGCCTCCCTAAAACTGCATTTAGGAAGAAAATGCGTCAGTTTAATCCGAATTTATTTAATGATTCACTTTTTAGATGGTTGGAGTAAATAAAGATACTACATTTTGTTTATGTTGCCATTTATTAAAAAATGACCGTGTTTATGGAAGCGCGAGTAATTCTTTCAAAAACACCGGTTTTAAGGTTTGGAATAAAGGTTTGGTCTACATGATGGTGAAGTAAAATTTCCACAATAGGTGTTTCAACAAAATGCTATATTTGTCAAAATCAATGTCAATCAATTCAAATTGCTTTTGACAAGCAAGCTAAGAACAAAAGAAGTGATGGCCAAATTCGTATAAATGTCTCAATTAATATGGCAAAGTTCCTCTTGGAATTTGGATTATTTTTCAAGGTCATGATGAAAGTGCATCTTCGAAAAATAAAGGCTTTTTTCTAGGAATTTGGGACAACTCAAAAGAAGGCTTTCAAATGTGGATACCGTTACATAAAAAATCCTAAAAAAATAATATGATGATGTCGCCAAAAATTCAAAAGGAAATTGTGAGTGCTTGTGCACAAGAAACAATGAAAGTTATAATTGATGGCTTCGATGGATATTATTTGAGATATTAGTTGTTAATATGGATATTATTTGTGATATTAGTTGATAAGTCTAAGGACATTTCGCACCATGAACAAATTATCTTTATTTTGCTATAGTTGACAATAAAGACGAAGTTAATGCGCGAGTTATTGGTTTTGTTTATGTCAGTGATATATCATCATGGTCACTGAAGGAAATAATTTATTCTTTGCTTTTGAATCACTTATTAACTATTAAGTCCATCTAAAATCTGTGGACATGAGTATGATGGAGCTAGTAACATGTGGGGAGAGATGCATGGTCTTAAAGCTTTGATTTTGCACGACACTCTATCATTATATTGAATTTACTGTTTTGCTCATCAATTACAATTAACTTTTGTAATTGTTGTTAAAATACATTTGCATGTGGATAATTTCTTTGCTATATTTGCTAACATGTTAAATGTGGTTGGAGCATCTTTTGAGCATAAAGATCTACTTGGGGATCATATTTTAGAACATTGGATAAGTTTATTGTTTTATTTTCATCTATCATTCATGTGCTTGAGGTGAATGTGAGGGTTCTAATCCAAATGATAGATTTCGAGCAGGATATTTAGTGAATTTATTTTCTCATTTTTTGATGTTGAAAGTGTTGGTGATGTCGAATGAACTGAGTGTATCTTTACAGAGGAAAGAGCAAGATATTGTCAAATGGCATGGTATTTTGACCTTATTAAGGAAAGGTTACAATTGATGAGAGAAGGGTGAGAGTTTTGATGGATGAAGTCTCTTCATTTTGTGATAAACATGACATTTTAGTGTCCAAGATAGATGAATTCAATAAGTCGAAGTGTAGACCTTTAGTGTAACATATTCAAATCACTTACCTATTGAGCTCTTTTGTGTTGCAACTAATTTGCAACTTCAAGCTTCACAATTGTTTTGATGTTGTGAGCAGTAACTTGCTTCCCGTTATGACAAGTTTGAATCCGGCTAATTCATTTGCTAAATTTGATGAGGAGAGAATAATAAAATTGGCCTATCCAACTGAGTTTGGTGAATTGAAGCTTCTCGATTACTAACTTGATACTTTTATAATGCACGTGAGACGTGTTGACCCTATGTTCTATGATCTGAAAGGAGTTGGTGATTTGGCAAAAGCATTTGTTAAAACAAACCTTATGGAGAATAGTTCACTTGTTTATTTACTTGTGAAGTTTATTATGATTTTATCTATCGCGGTAGAAGAGCATTTTCATCCCTGAAGTACATCAAAAATGAATTGTGTAGTAGTACTAGTGAACCATTTTTAAATGATTGTTCAGTTTGTTACATTGAAAAGGACATATTTATAAATGTAAGCAATGATACTATTATTGACCGTTTTTTGAATATGAAAGCGCGTCAAAATCAAGTATGAATAGATAATTTACTTTCTTATATTTGTACTAAATTAATAATATTCGAAAATTTTGAAGTTTATACTTGGTTCATAAGTTATCATTAAGTTTCCAGAGAGTTGCACTTGAAACTTTGTACCTAACAATTGGCATGTGTATGTTAAAGACAGTGGTGCTCCCGCTACCTTCAAATCCTGTGGAGGTGAGGGCTTTACTGTTAACAGAGAGGTTGGGTCTCGTTGGGCGAAACTTAGTTCCGGCAAGAGCTTTCGGCGGCAGACTGGTGGTGTGAGTTCGGGAGAGAGACGCTGAGTTTAGAATTGGGGCAAGGGTATCTTTGTTCCATCGTGGAGAGAGAAGTGGGTTTGGTGCTTTTTAAGGGAGAAATTTCATCAAAAGAAGAGAGGAGAGGGGGGGNTCATCAAATACGAGCGGAACTGAGCAAGCTGACCAGTGCACCCATCCAGTGTTTGTGTATCGGGGTGCAGTGACCCCCCCAACGTAGGTCCGCCTGGGCACATTTACTGCTCTAGAAAACTTTTGCATGTCTCAAATACACCAAGGACAGTAGCATTGCACATCTCCTAAGTCATAATCTCGAAGATGAAAAGCATACCATGACTTTGTTTTGCTTCCGATGTAGGTTTGAATATTGAAGTTGATAGGATATTGGAGATTGCTTGTGTAGTTACAGATGGAAGTTTGACGAAATCAATTGAGGTATTCATACACTGCAACTCTGATTTTGTTATGTTATTAACATCATCGTCTTTTTAAGTTTGCATATTCCCCCTTTCCAAAACAGTGGTTTTCTTTGAGCTTGTGGTTAATCAGGAAAAAGGGAAGTAATGGTCAAATGATACATAACACAAAGCTGTTTTGTGCGAGTAACTTAAATTGATATACACAGTACTTATCTTATAATCTAAATTGAATCTGAAGAATTCCCAGTTCTTCGGTGCTCTTTGGAGGACACTGATCCTACTGCTGCATAATATGGAAAACTTGTGGACCTTTTCAGCTGGTACAATTTTGCCATATGACAGCATTTCTTGTGCATCTGCGAATCACCTCATATATCCTCCTGGTTCTAAAGCAGAGAGTATTTTATGTTTCCAAAAACAGGGTCCGGATTTGGTTATAAATCAACCTAAGGAGTGTCTAGACAAAATGGGTGAATGGTGTCAAGAGCATCATGCAGCTAGTGGTGAGCCGCTTTACCTCTATCAGCATCATTCTGTATTTTAGGCAGCTATTTTTGGAATAAAGTTACTTTTTCAGTAATATCAAAACACCTTTTAGTTCAAGGTAATCTTACTTTCGTTTAGGTTTGACCGAGAGGGTGCTTAAGAGTACAGTCACTGAAGAAGAAGCTGAGAAACAGGTAGATCTAGCCTTTTGTCTTAAATGTACAACAGTGACATTCCAGAATTGGTAAGATAAATGACAAAAATATTTACAGTGTAATTTCACACATCTGGTTCTACTTGTTCTTTTTTCCCCTTGAACTGGTTACGTATAATATTGTACCGAAAGCTGAAAAAAGCGCTAAGTAGAGGAATGGACCCATTTCTGAGTATCCCACTATAGTGCCAGTTAAACAACCCCCCTTCCCTCCCCTCTTTTGGTGTACGACAGGTCTCTCTCACCTCATAAGGGACTCTTGAGGATACGGTTTGAAAACATAGACCAAATCCTAAAGAGTATACTCGTTTATGCGCATCAAGATATTGAGGGGCTTGTGAATGCTCTTAAAGAGAGGCGCTTCCAGAACGCGAACGCAACAGGCACCTGTTGTCAGCTCGTGTATGTTTTGGTCTATGTATTTTTCTCTTAGGGGTAATATTCTGGACAATAACTTCATGTGATACTGAAACTCAAATTTTTTAAACCATTGTTTTTTCATGTGCTCGTTTTTGGATAAATCCTTGCCTCCTAGATGTTGATAATTAGCAATTACTTTTAGAGTGGCTATGTCCTCACATTGAAATTGGTCCTTGAAGTGAATACCGTTTTCAATTTTTCCCATGCCACAAAGGCAAAAAATATAGCTTCAAGTTGAAGAGTTGTAACCACATCAATATCTTTCGTTCCCTCTGCCTTTTTTTCTTCTTTCTGTTGTAAATTTTATTGCCTCCTCGTGTTGATTGTTTGCTATTTCAGTCTAAGATTTTCCGATGAATCTTGGAGACAGATCATAATTGAGAATTTGAGATGCATGGCAATTGCTATGTGGTCCATATTATTCTTATGTTTTGCTTGCATTATGTAGGCTATTGAATTTGTCAAGAGAAACATTGGCACATATACACCATTACTAGCAGGAAATTCAGTCTACGTGGATTTTCAATTTTTGAAGGTATGGTTATGTTAGTATAAATCTATACACGTATCATTTTGAGGTATCTCATCTACAAGTAAATGGACATGTGATTACTATATATTTCTTGCTTCTTGGCTACTTAGTCGAGCATTCTTCAGTGTTTCTAGACAGTTTCCCTCGATTGGCCTTTTAAATTAAGGCTTGTTGCTAAATTGTTTTCATTCTATTTATATCTGTGCAGAAATACATGCCGAATCTGGCTAGTCTTTTTTCACATGTACTAGTTGATGTCAGCAGTGTCAAGGCATTGTGTGTTCGTTGGTTTCCAAGAGGTAAAACCAGTACAACATTTTGAGGTTTATCATGTCTACTTTAAAGTATCCCTCAATGAGTGGGGTGGTTAAGGGGGCGGACGGCTAGGTATTCTATTTTTTATTACAACATTCAGTGCCAAGCTGCTAGCANCGGGTGGGGGTGGTTAAGGGGGCGGACGGCTAGGTATTCTATTTTTTATTACAACATTCAGTGCCAGGCTGCTAGCATAGTGTATTCTGATACAATAGGCGGATATCTAATTGCTTTGAGTGTTGCATGTTTTATTTTCCTGCTTTTTCATTAGATAGCAAAAGGGCTCCTAAAAAGGAAAGCAAGCATAGAGCCATGGATGACATTAAGGAGAGCATAGCAGAACTCAAATACTTCAAGGAACACATATTCAAGGCCTCCAAGTCTAATTAGTGACTTCGTTACGGGTTTTACTTCTGGTCCCACAATTTGGTATTAAAGTGGTGAAGGTCTCTTGTTGTATGTGAAGTATGAAACATTGTGCTTAACAATAGGTCGTTTGGTAGGAGGTATTAGAAAAAATAGTGTAAGCATTAACTCTATGCATTACTAATACCTTGTTTGATACATTTTTTCAACTTGTGTATAACTAATACATTAGTTATACATCATACTTGGTATTATCCTATGTATAAGTACAGCAAAGAAAATCATGGCATTAGTAATACCAAGGCTATTAATGCATGCATTTGTATGGTTAAAGACAAAATTGTCCTTAAAGTCCCTTAGAGCTAGAGAATATGGACGACTTTTTTGTAAATAACTATTTTTCTTAAATATTATGCAATGCACTATAATTTTAATACACCATACCAAACCGTAAATAAGAAATAATATCTGCATAACTAATGCTTGCATTACTAATACACCTTATTCCACACTATTCTTATACACCCTACCCTGATTAAAGGTTTTTCTTACTTACTATTTCAGCAATCAATTCATTTTAGCAACCCATAAAGCGATAGTGAGAGAGAGTAAAGGGAAAGAAATCAACTTTCTTTCTGATACTATATGGAATTGGCTAAGGAATTGTATGCTTGGGAAACTGGTGCCTGAGGTTTGAGCAGTTGTACGTGGGTGTTGGAATAAGTTAGTCACTTCATTATTTTAAGTTCACTTTGGTCCCTAGTGTCTTGTTTCCCTATGTGTAAATCATGTTTGCACTTCTCAGAGGCCATGAATAAAATCTTATTTTGCCCTAGTTTTCGTTCTCTTCTTAGCTCTAGCTTAGCCCTAGTTAGCTTCTTCCAAAAAAATTCAGCATCCGTATCATCTTCCTCTTGCTTTTCCAGTAAAAGACGAAATCAGATTTGGTCGCAATCCCAGAGACACTGATGACAAGAGTAGATTTTCTATACTCCAAGCTCACTTGATTGCCATGTAAAAGGAATATGGGAGTTGATCAAAATGTTGTTTCAAGTTCACTTGGCAAGTGATTATTTACGATTTCTCCATGAAACATACTTTGAAATCCAGAATGATTTTAACTCACTTATGCAAAACTCTACGCAACAGAAGAGAGCTTATAAATTCTCAAATTCTGCACTTGCACTTGAATAGTTCATAGAGAGGTTTTGTCACAATTTCTACTAACTACTAATAATTTTCAAGAGTTGGCAAAATGGATGATCGAGGGTCTCCTCAAGTTGTTATTGCTATGACTTTTTCTTGCATTCAGGTTGAACTTTGAGCTCCCCTAATAGTCTCAAACACAGCTGAAAAGTCATGGTCTCCCAAACCCAAGCTCCTCGCCTTCTTGAATGCCTCATTAGCAGCAGCTGCTACTGGCATTGGCACTGCATTCTCGTCTCCGAGTGCTAGAGCCAACCTCATGTCCTTTTGCTGGTGTTTGAGAGGAAATGCAGGCGGGTAACTGTTGTTGATCATAGCAGGTCCTTTCATCTTAAACATTGGGTTAGCAATGGCTCCAAGGTCCTGTGAGAAGACAGAATTTCTGAATATTTATTTAAGTGGAAAATAACTGATAAATGACAATATAAGCTTGCTTACCAACACATCAAGAAGGGTATGAGGGTCCAATCCACTTTTGTCGGCCAATACAACTCCTTCCGAAAACGCGTTCATCATACTGCACCATTAGGGAATATCAAAACGGATTAAAGTTGCAAGAAATTAAAACTAACATAAAAAGAGTAATTAATTACCTGCCCATGATCATATTAACAACAAGTTTCATTTTTGCTCCATTTCCAACCTGTCCCAAGAAAAAGGATTTCTTTCCTAAGACATCAAAAGCAGGTAGCACTTGATCGTATAGCGCCTACAAGGATTTGAGATATCATCAACGCAAGTTCATGTGTATTATATCTTCATTGCAGTTTGAGGTTAATGGTTATAAAATTGCCACAGCATGAAGACAAAGTCATACATCCCATGTTATAATGTACTTTGCTATATTTACCCGTGTGACATAATAAGAGTGTTTTTCCATTAAATAATATTACCTTGTCCCCAGCTGCTAGAATTACTAGTTGGCCATCTTCAGCTGGCTTTTTGCTCCCTGAAACTGGAGCTTCAACAAAACAACCACCCTTTGATGTAATGGCCTGTAATCATTCACTATTAGTAATTCACTTCAACTTGCTTTTTATAACAGGAATTCTCTTTTAATATAAACTTGATTCTGATAGTATTAAAGTTCCTATCTCAAAGAAGAAGGACAGGAAGCATGAAACTCCAACCTCACTAATCTTTGAAGAAGTATCAGCATCAACGGTTGACATGTCTATGTACCCCTTCCCACCACATATCTGCTCAAGAGCACCATCTTTGTCGAAAACCACCTAGGTGACCACAAAATGAAATTCTCATTAGGTATAGGTAGTACAAACTTTGACAATTTGAATTCATAAATTCACTGTTTGTATAGGCTGATTAACTGAAAGAGCTGCAGCAGGATCAGACAGCATCGCAATTGTATACTTGCATTTCTTGACTACCGCTGCAGGAGTTTCTCCAACAGAAGCTCCATGTTGCACTAGCTCATCACACTGCACTCGTAACAAAATCTTGATCATGAATTGCAGAATTATTTGCATGAAAGGAAGGTAAATCTTTGATTATTAATGTGAAGGTAATGATCTATTGTACACAAGTGAATAGATAGTTGTTGCATTTTGAGATAGTTATAAGAATGTGAAATTATTCATAAATAGTTCCCACGTCCATTTCACCTATTGAACTCTAAATTGCCTTGATTTGCACTGGAAACTACCAAAGCAGACAGCTGAAAAATGGATTTAAACACCTTAGTTCTTGCAATACATTCACAAAATTTCGTGTTCATAAAGCCCCTAGAGCTTTGGCCTAGTAAGAGCGAGCGGGTGATGTGTGGGTTAGGAGCATCTCACGAGTTTGAACCCTACCGTAAACAAAAGCATGGTATTTAAATGGAGAAGGATGGCCTATTATCCACCGAGTTTAACCCTATAAATCGTGGGGATTTCTTCATAAATTCAGTGGCCATGAGACATACAAGAGAAACATAACAGGGAAACAAAGCTGAAAAGCACATAAATGCATAATTACACAAGTCTCGAGTTGTACAAAGGGAATTTTTTTGTTGTTGAAAAAAACAATGTATTCAAGATAGAAAACACAGGAGGGATCCCGTTGGTCAAATCCATCTCTACTTAAACAGCAAATACAGAGTAGATGAATTGCAGAGAGAGTTTCATCATGATAATTGAGTATTTCTCATAATCCGCAAAGTAGGCTTAATACAAAGTTCAATCTTACAAGTTAATATCAACAGCCTAAAAACAAAAAACATTCCTTTAATTTGACTTTCTTAAATCCCTTCTTCCATATATTTTACTCATTTCGTCTCCTTAACACACCTATCATTCATGTGTTTACAACACTTAATATAAAGGATCTCGTGAAATTAAAATGGGTGCGTAGATAAGGGAGAAAAGAATATAAATACCCTGGAGAGAGTGCGATTCCAAACAGTAACCTTGAAACCATGGCGGAGCAAGTTGACGGCCATTGCCTTTCCCATTATGCCCGTCCCCAGAAACCCTATTTCCTCCATTTTTCCTCCTCTCTTCTTTCTTCACTGATACTAATATTCTTATAGATTGGTGGAAAATATTATAGTAACACAATGCACCCTAGATTTCCACTGCAGCAAGTGAAAAAAACAAGTGCAGACAATTTTCATCAATTTTTCATTCTCTTTCCATAATGGAAAATCACTTTCCATAATTAATAAATTAATAATTTTTATTCTGGTTATATGCTTGTTTTCGAGTTTTTTGACCGGTTGATTCGTGCCACGTCAGGGAGATTCTCTTCCACTCATTTTACCCTATTTGATTCGTCCATTTGTCTTTTTTCCTGTTTTGTGGGAATTGACTGTTGATCCTCTGCGTGCAGGCTCATGAACTAGCTTGCCCATTTTGGCTGTTATTCCAAAACAAGGGAATAAGTTGAAAAATAGCCACTTTTAACTAGGGGTGGGCATAAAATTTGAAAAATCGAATTTCAAACCGGATCAAATTAATTTGGTATTTCGATATTGATTTATTCAATATTTCGGTATTTTGGTATGATACTTGGTATTGACTTTTGATATTTCGATATACCGAAATATCGAAATATTTCTCTATAGTCTAGTCTTACGGGCCAACCCACCTCTACTATATAATTATAGGGAGAAAATCAAAAATAGCCAGATTTACAACTGATCGTTCAAAAATAACCCAATTTCAAAAGTAATCGAAATTTAGCCACTTTTCATGCAAAGATAAATCTGAGCGAAAACACTGTTCAAAACCTGAAAAATACGCCAGTATATTATACTGGAGTTCCAGCATAAGTATGTTTGAACTCCAGCATATTATACTGGAGTTCCAGGATAAGTATGCTGGAACTCCAGCATAATATGATGGAGTTCCAGCATAAGTACACTAGAACTCCAGCATAATATACTGGAGTTCCAGCAAGTATAATTGTCCAGTATAATATACTGGAGTTTGGAGCACCGGTGCTCCAGTCTCCAGTATATTATACTGGAGTCAGCAAAGTATATCGGTCCAGCATAATATGCTGGAGTTCATACACAAGTGCACTGAACTCCAGTATATTATGCTGGACCGGTCTCTGTTGCAGCAAAATAGTGGCTATTTTTCATTGACTTCGTAAACGCTGACTATTTTTGAATGACCAGTCCGAAAACTGGCTATACACATAATTATATTTTCTAGCCCAATAAACTAAGCCCAACAACCAATTAGAATGTTTAACCATTTTCTTTCTCATTGTATTTGTGTTTAACCATTTTCTTTCTCGTTTTTGGAGATTATCTTTCTATGATTAGCTGCTGCTTAGAATAATTTTGAGGCTCCAATTAGAATGTGTAACTGGAGTGGATTTTGTCAGCTGGAGCAGGTCGTCAGTTGCTTTGCAATTGGCAAATTAGAAAATCAGAGTGACTCCTACTTCTTAGTTGTTGCTGCAATTGGCAAGTGTTGGTGCTCGTTCTTCAATTTTTTTTGGTCAAGCATGAATGTATGTTACTCGTCAATGAGGACATTATGAT